TCTTTAGAATAGGAAGACTGGCGATTCTATGGGCCATTTGGTGGTGTTCATGTGCTCTGGCGATGGAAGGGGCCCATGTAGGCAACGGTGAAACGACGGAGACCATAAAGGATATTGTGGAAACAGCAATTAGAGCAGAATGGAAGCTGATGGTGCTAAAGCTGCGCCCCCTCTCCCTAAAAGCCGATATTAACCGCCACCTGAAGTCCTTTGCATGAATTGGTTGGGGGGGGAGCAAGGTGGGAAGATAGCCGAGGTCCAATGGGAGGGATGGCATCTGGAGGATCAGCAATGCCTGGTACCGGAACAAAAAAACTCTCGGCCCTGCTTCAAGGACTGGACGACCGTTCCCACCAATATCCCACTCCCCCCACTTTCTGACTTCCCAGACCCATTTCCTCCCCCGAGTCATGCGATCGTAGAGCTGGGATGGTATGGTAGGTAGATGGGGCTGGGTAGGAGGACGGTGGTATCGGCCTTTGGTCGCCCCCCGGAGGGGGCTTGAAACCACTTCCCCTCCCCTCTATCCAGCCCCTTCCTACCTCGTTCCGTGGGCTTTCTTAAACCACCAGTACTTGGCCCAGCTATTGATGCCGAGCCGGGATACCCCCTGCGCACCAAGTTTTGCTGAGCTGCCGGGGCACCGTTTCGTTTTCATTTTGGCTGGCGCTTCCAGCCATTGTGGTTCGGTGCCCCGAAGCCCGCAACTACCAGCGCGTTAACGGGAATTGCCCGCGGCCGATAGCTGGGCCAAGTACTGGTGGTTTATTGTGTTGCAGTGTTTTGTCTGCCCGCACAGTTAATCCCCCGGGTAGGACCGAGGCAATCAATGCTGGCGGGACCTGAGTCTCTTCCTGATTGGTGGCCATTCTCTTGATCTCAATATGTGACTTGTACAAGGGATGCTTGATCCGATTTCCAGCAGGTGCTGCTCCCCACCAATAGATCGGAGCTGGCAGTTGAGCTGCTAGTGCTGGGGGCTTGTATCACCACCACTAGCCGTGTCAACTGGTGTTAAAAAAGAAAAAAGAAAAATAAAAAGGATCTCCATAAATCGAGAAAATGGTCCAAATTATAAAAAAAGAGGTTAGGTAGGGTAGAAAAGGATGGATGGGTTAGGATGGCCCTTAACCGTTTGAAACATTGTTATGGAATTAGATTATTAGACAGGGTCTTTTTAACTCTTTTATTATGTTATTATTATTATTTTTTGGAATTTTTTGGAATGACTATTTGTTTTGTCAAACCACCAGTCCATCCGAAGCTAAATTGACGAACCAGAAGTCGCATTTTGCTGAGCCTGGAATATTCAGTACTGGCCTTGGGAAAAAAATAATCTACAGTTGCCCCCTTCCCACCGAACCTCTACCGGACCTGGGCACTGAAGATTTTGGCCCCCGACTCGCGTGCGAGCAAAATAGACAGTCTCACCTGCGAAGGGACTGGCTGGTGGCTGAATACCTCTCGCGATCCTGTCTAATTCTCCACCGAGCGATGATTGGTAGCCGCTGGGCGGACAATCAGACAGGATCTAAATTGTAGACCTGCGATCTTTTATACGATTTGTTTCTTTCTTTTTTCAATAGTTATGGGTGTGTACTTTTCAGCCATCAAGGACTCGCAACCGATTCCCCTTTATTTTGTTGTTTCCTCTTTTTTTTCTAGTGCGTTTGACCATTTCTCCATAGTCAAAGGGGCCAGTCCTTTTTTTTCAATAAATAATTTTGGACCATTTCCCGATTTATGCGTGTGATCATTGCGCAGGGGCCATGCTAATCTTCCTTCTTCGTATCATTCCAGTGTTAAGGATGTCCCGAAGGACACTTGGAACCAGTTCTGGATCTCAGGGTTGGAAATGGTACCTTTTCTCTTGGGTGGAACTCTTTGCACTCATAGTAGGGCGGTTTTCTTTATTCCTTCCCCCTCCCCCCCTCCCTCCCTCCCCCCCTCCCCTTTCCTCCTGCCTCAGAGTAGCATAGATCAGAATGAGATAAGAAAGTGGAAAGCTGGCCTGTTTACCTGTATTGCAGTTATATGGGTTCGATCCTGACAGCGCTGAAACCTACTGGGCTAGCTCCTACTTCTGTTTACTTCTCTCTCTCTCTCTCTCTCTCTCTCTCTCTCTCTCTCTCTCTCTCTCTCTCTCTCTCTCTCT